TGCTTTTTACAGTACTACGGCTTCCACAGATGATATTTCTTTATGGATTTTTTGTCAAAGCACTTCAGATATTCATTGCTATCGGGATGTTAAGAGCATTCCATGGAATATAACAACAAGTGTATCTCGAGCCGGTTTCTCAAACTTACCTACCCCACCTTTAATAAGTCAAAATCTTAAAAAATGGTACTGCACAAATCTGTTTGCATTGCAATATATATAAATATGTGTGTATATTATTTTGAATTACGGATTTCGATGCAGCATAGACCTATAAATGGTTCCGATTTACTTAAGATAGTTGTTTGGTCCAAATCCTCTTTGAGACGTCACATCAAGGTCATTTTGACAAATCTTTTAATGATAATAAGAATAATCGTGACAAAACATGATCAATACCTCGATGCATATTGCGATACTAATATCAGTTAAAATAATTTTTATATCCAAATGGTGCAGCCCTAACATTCCAATAATCCCGTTTAATTCAGGGAGAGGAAAGTGATAAAGAAGCGATAGAGAAGTTAATAGTAAAAGAGTAAAATAGCGGCATCTCCTTCTCCTCCCTGCGCCTGGCTCCGAGCAGGCAGTAAAAATGAGAAACACCGCGCGGCCGCTCCAACAGGATGATATGTGAGTCTCATTCAGGAGAGCCATCAGTGTATATCTTTCCTCTGCTACTCTGGAACATAAAAAGATCTTCTTCTTCTGTGGTGCTGTATATGATGATGCAATTCAGGGGGATAATAGTTCAAGACCCCTTTTTGTGCCCGGCTGAATAAATAAAGAAGGTGGAGAACAAATGAAACCGTAGAAACTGTTTATTTATGCTGAATAGGTCTTGAGTGACTGCCAGACCTCGACACAATAAGATAAGGGTTTCTTTCTGCACATCCGTCAGCCTGTCACATGGGATGACAGGTCAACGGTACATCCAGTATGCTGGGCTATTTTTCACCATTCTGCCTCTCGGTCTCTCTTCCCAGCCTCTGATCTTTATATTTCCTCGCCCTCTTCATCACACCCTGTTGATAACTCACTTTCTGTTTGCCTCTGTGCCTCTGCTTCCTCTCCCTTCCCCCCCTTCCCCCCCCCCCAGGGTGCCAAGGTTAAAAACACAGGGAGGATTTAGATTCTGTTAGAGTCCCGTGATGAATGACTGTGTCACCGCCACCACACTTCCTGCCTCTCTCCATCCAGCGCAGTAATCATCTCCACACATTAATATTTAACATCATCACGCAGCCACAAAACCCTGATTATGAGCCAATAACAAAGAGGAAGCGGGGAAAACGTCCGGCTCAGCGTCTCGCCGCAGCCTACAGCGACAGGAAAGGAAAAAAGCCAACACATGGCGTGAATGCAAGTGTGGGTAAAAACGATCTGAGGGTGTTTGTTGTTTGAGGTGTTGATAGTGGCCAAACACAGTAAATATTTAATGAGGCTTGTCTGGTAAGAGTTTCCTCCTACTCTCTCTGAGGATTATTGCCGATGCAAAGGGGCTAAGGAGATAATTACTGGCTTTAAAGCTAAACCTCATTCAAGGTCTCCAAAGACTTCCACCTCGACTATATGCAGCTTAAAGTAAAGCTGTCAGCAGTGGTGGAAAGTAACTAAGTACATTTACTCAGGTACTGTAATAAAGCGATATACTGCATGATTCTGAATGTCCAATCTGCATAACGAGTACTTTTACTTTTGGTACTTTAAGTATATTTTGATGCCAATACTTTTGTACTTTTACTTGAGTAACATTTTGATTGCAGGATATTACTTGTAACAGAGTATTCCTACACTCTGGTACTTCTACTTATACTCAAGTACAAGATCTGAGTACTTTTACTCAAGTACAATATCTGAGTACTTCTACTTTTACTCAGGTACAAGATCTGAGTACTTCTACTTTTACACAAGTACAATATCTGAGTACTTTTACTCAGGTACAAGATCTGAGTACTTCTACTTTTACACAAGTACAAGATCTGAGTACTTTTACTCAGGTACAAGATCTGAGTACTTCTACTTTTACACAAGTACAAGATCTGAGTACTTTTACTCAGGTACAAGATCTGGGTACTTCTACTTTTACTCAGGTACAAGATCTGAGTACTTCTACTTTTACTCAGGTACAAGATCTGAGTACTTCTACTTTTACACAAGTACAAGATCTGAGTACTATTACTCAAGTACAAGATCTGAGTTCTTCTACTTTTACTCAGGTACAAGATCTGAGTACTTCTACTTTTACTCAGGTACAAGATCTGAGTACTTCTACTATTACTCAAGTACAAGATCTGAGTACTTCTACTTTTACTCAGGTACAAGATCTGAGTTCTTCTACTTTTACTGAAGTACAATATCTGAGTACTTCTACTTTTACTCAGGTACAAGATCTGAGTTCTTCTACTTTTACTGAAGTACAATATCTGAGTACTTCTACTTTTACTCAGGTACAAGATCTGAGTTCTTCTACTTTTACTGAAGTACAATATCTGAGTACTTCTACTTTTACTCAGGTACAAGATCTGAGTTCTTCTACTTTTACTCAAGTACAAGATCTGAGTACTTCTACTATTACTCAAGTACAAGATATGAGTTCTTCTACTTTTACTCAGGTACAAGATCTGAGTACTTCTACTTTTACTCAAGTACAAGATCTGAGTACTTTTACACAAGTACAAGATCTGAGTACTTCTACCACCTCTGGTTGTCAGTCAGTGTAATGG